ATCGATATGCAGAAGCTATCTTGTTACGGGGGGCAAATTTTATGGAATCATCTTACTTTTCAATTATTTACAATGGCGATGCATAGACAATAAAAATGACCCCGGTAAGAATTTAGTTCTAATATTTAACATTGTTGCCGTTACCTCTCAGTTCAATTTGTATATGAGTTACCTTCAATTGAAAATTGTTATACTATAGTAATATGATGAAAATTTTAAATATCAATCTTTTTCAAATAAGATGTCTCCAAAAGGTGTTGAAACATTAATATACTAAAAAAATATTTTACTAAAATGGAATGTCTTTCATATTGTCGTGGGTAATGTCTTCTTCAGCAAACAGATTATCTATTTAACAGAAAAGTGTTTTCATGCAATGATGAATGGAAATCAAAAAAAGGTGTTCAGAGACTTATTTGATAGGTTGAAACTCTACCACTCTGCTACATAGATTTACTAAAAATGTCATTCTACATACATTAAAAACAATTTTCTCTTTCACAATAACATCCATAATTAATCAAAGAGGCCTTGCAAGAATTTCTATACACCTCAAAATATATCACTCCGTCTCTAATGGAATTAGAATGTATAACAGCATATCTGCCAATTTTCTGAAAGAAACTCGACCTTATGTTCCAAAATTATATTTATTGAATGGACTTCTCTTATACTGTGTAGGAATTTCTGTCACAACATACTGTGTATGTACATATATATTTGTGTGTATTTTTATATGAGTGTAGACAAATATATACTTTAACTTAAAATATAACGTGCTTTATACCCTGGGGTCTTTTAAATCAGTACTTAGTACTCTTTATGTTTCTTATTGACTTATTTCTTGATATGGTTCTATACCAATCATATAATTGTAATAAAAATTTTTTTTTCAGGGTTTATGAAAATGGACGAGAAACTGTTTTGTCTTACGAAAACGATGTTCTGAAATCAAAGACTGTGAATGGAATTTCTCAGAGTTTAACATACAGTTAAATACCACTGATTATATATAATTTTGTCCCTCTGTTAGCCTAATTGTAGTACTTACTCCCTTCAGAAACATTATAAATGTGATTTGATGTATTGTAGACCATTTCCAGGCTGGGCACACACAAAAATCCCATATATTTTGACTACTTGCAGTTTATTCAAGTTAAATTCGGAGAGATGATGATCATAATTCAATCGCAGGAAATTACAATCCCCGCTTTTATCACAAAATTATCATACCTAATGTTAACAACACATTTGCCAATAAAATGCTAAATAAAGCTCATAATTTCATTACAATTTGCCAACATTCACTCAGTTACCTTGTAAATTGTATGCAGCATGATTTTATTTACTGTCGTGTTGCAGACAAGCATTTCATTTGTTTACTTTTACAAAAGTTCTAGTAATGATGGCTCAAGATGTACAAAACTGGAGCCATATTTATTTTCAAATGAAATTTCTTTCTGCAACAAAAATATCACGGTCTTACCGTGTTCAATAATGTATTTTAGATGTTGAGATTATGGAATTGTAACCAATATTTTGCTCAAATACAAAAAGCCAAATATACAAATGCCCTAATGCCATATTATATTGAGAGTAGCTTTCCATGTTTGATGATCTTTCTTATTTAAATGTTGCTATAGGACAAGTGATAACAGTATTTGTACAACTGCACGTGAGTCTTTCCGCTTGTATAAACATGTTTGTAAGAGAGAATTTGATGTATTGCACGTCTTCATTAGTTATTTTGTTTATTTGAATTCAAAATATTTCCTGGAAAAATTTGCTCAGAATGGTATTTTTGTTTTTGGATTTCTATTACATACTGAGAGTATTGAAAACATGAGGTACTGCACGTGAGTCTTTCCTCTTGTATAAACATGTTTGTAAGAGAGAATTTTATGTGTTGCACAACTTGTTCATCAGTTATTTTGTTTATTTGAATTCAAATTGTTTTTCTGGAAAAAATTGCTCAGAATGGCTTTTTTGTTTTTGGATTTCTATTACATACTGAGACTATTAAAACATGAGGCACTGAACGTGAGTCTTTCTGCTTGTATAAATATGTTTGTAAGAGAGAATTTGATGTGTTGCACAACTTCTTCATTAGTTATTTTGTTTATTTAAATTCAAATTATTTCCTGGAAAAATTTGCTCCGAATGGCTTTTTTGTTTTTGGATTTCTATTACATACTGAGAGTACTAAAGACAAGGCACTGCACGTGAGTCTTTCCTCTTGTATAAACATGTTTGTAAGAGATTATTTTATGTGTTGCACAACTTGTTCATCAGTTATTTTGTTTATTAGAATTCAAATTGTTTCCTGGAAAAATTTGCTCAGAATGGCTTTTTAGTTTTTGGATTTCTATTACATCGTAAGAGTTTTGACATGAGGCACTGGATCAAGGAGAGGTGGTTGATTGATTGTGTTTCATTTACTTTCACTTCACAACCAGCTTTTAGTATCGGAGCTGTGATACTGACAAGTTTAAAATCGTTTTTGTGCTTGTTATCAATAACACAAAATGGTTATTAATAGTTGGGGACAGGCACAAAATCAAATTTCAAGTATTGTCAAACCTTGAATGTGAACTTCTTTTCATTGGGTAGTATACCAATTGGGTTTTTCTGAACAAAATTGTTATACATATTTTCCCATTCAGTGACTCCTGTCTTTCATTTTCAAGTTCATTGTAGGTGTAAAATTTTTCCTTTTCAAATCCAACAAATTGGGTGGATATATTGGCAAAGAACTACCAATTTTAACTTTGTTGCTCTATCCGGTGCTCATAATAACTGAAATGGAAATAAAGATTATTAAACTGCATTAGCTTATTATTTTTACATTTATTTTTATTTAAGTTATTAAATTCATTATGATTTATAATTTTTAAGTTGTAATAAAAGTTGAAGAATTATTATTTTCCTTTCATTTCTTTCCCTGGCAGAGACAAATCAATGGTTGTCTATTTTCTGTTTTTCCTTAGTTTTTTGGTATTTTGCAATAGTGAATATCTTTTTTTAGAATCAATAAAAAAGCAATATTCCTACAGGGATGTATATGAAGACCATTCGAATAGAGTTTAAATCACCAAAAACCGCATGGGAGCTAACACCCAGTTTTTCCGTCATCCCACGTATCGTTTGTGATGGGTCAGGGTCCTCAAATCCTCGTCTTGGACTACTGTAGGTCGCAACCAACGTCGAACAGAGCGTTCAGTAACACTATCATTGCTAAATACCTGGTTAATTTTTCGGGCTCTTTCGGCAGCGCTTCGTAGAGAAAAATTGACCGATAATAGCATAATGACATCATATAGTAATAAGCTGACGAAAGGCATAAAATTAAATGAATAGCATCAATGTATGTATTAAAAAATTCCTTTTCAATCAGTATATACCATGACACAGTAATACATATTTATTGAGCTACAAAAACACTGACATTAAAACAGACAAAACAACCTAAAACCTTCTGAAAGAATTACAATCAACATTGATTGAGATCTTGTCTGTAACTGGTGAACAAATAACTAATTGTCATTACATAAACCAAGTGGAAAGGATGTCTTTCCCAATAAATTTCTTTCCTGGACACATTTGTTTTTATAAGTATCTAAAAATCTGTGGAAGATGCGATATTTTCAATTTGTACCTAGTGTCCCGAAGATTATCTAGAGAGCTAACGCCTTTTGTTACCTATTGCAGTTTTTTTAAACAACAGGAATTTCAGACAGATCGTATTTAATAGTAAATCATACATGGGAAAGAAAGGTTTTGGCTTTCTACTTCTCCATCTTCATATAAAAAATGTGGGAATCTCCCGAAGGAAGGAAATGAGCAATACATTTTGGGTTTGTGTCTGAAAGTTATTTATTTGCACAATGTGGGAACACATCTTTGTGAAGAGTTTATTTCGAAACGTATTGCTTTCTCCCTTCTTTTGGAAGATTCCCACATTTTTTTGTATAGATGGAGAAGTAGAAAGCCAGAACCTTTCCCAAAGTGTATTTCAATGTTTATATGAAAGTTTGTGATCGAAAGTTACTTCTTTACATGAACTACACATATTTGTATAAAGTTTATTTTGAAATTAATTGCTTTCTTCCCTTCTATGGAAGACTTCCACACTTTTTATGTATAGAGATGGAGAATTAGAAAGCCCAAACCTTTCTTTAACGAAAATTGATCCCTCATAAAAATATAGACCTTTTAATTTATAAAACAATATCCCAACTACAATTGAAAAATTATTGCAGTAGTACAAACCTAAAGGTTAAACTTTTAAAATCAAATTCATGTAATTTTCTTATTACATGTGAGGTGTAGTTTTTGAAATTCATATAATTATAATTGTAACCATTAAACACACTAAAATGGAAAAAGCTAGCTTATACTGAAAAATATTACAGTTCTGACATCTAAAATATAACCTCATACTAACTAACTTTCAATGTGGAAACACCTAGTTGGGTGTTTCCCAGTGTAAACTGCTCACCCCAGTTTACATTGTTCAGAGATTTTCTAAAAGCATTGTAGGAGATGCAAAAGTTCTTACCATTATGTCTTACGTTCACAATATATGGAATAGATGGACGGCAATATTTGTATCTACATAGGAGTGGTAGTTTATTTAACCATATGATGTAGTTAATACATAAAAGTTGATGAATATAAAAAAATACGAAAAATTATAGTTCACATATATAAGCAGACTATAATGTTTAGGAAAATGATATAAATAGAATTAAGACATACACAAGTTTTTAATCAAAATGCATTATGACATACATGGATGGACGAATAAAATTAACAATTCAGCGAATCATTTCTTTTTATGGCAACATATCTGTTCGTGTTCTTGAATATCTTTAACAAATCCTATAATTTCACAACCCTTCAATCTGTTAATACAGGATAAAATTGCATTTTCAGCAAAATGTTCCAACGAATCATTTCTCAATTTGATATTTTGACATCTGCTAGACAGGCATCGCTTGTTATTGCACCTGCAGTCGCTGCAAACGCTGTGGCCTGATGAACAAAGAAAAATTGGTGGACTCATGATGTTTCCACAAATTTGGCATTCTAGAACACGATGCTCGTAATTGGTATCTTGTTCGCCTTTCTTTTCATTTTTTACATTGACAGAAATTATGATTCTATCCAGCGACTGCCCAAGGAAAATTCTCAAATCATTTTTTTTCACCACAGCATCTATCTGTCTGAAAATTTTTGAAGTTATTGACGCGAAATAATCCGCATGATGCGTATTTTGACATGTGGCGATCCAACATTTTTTGCATTCACTGTGTACGAAAAATGGAATAACACTCTTATTATACAAAGTAACACATGAAGACGTACTTTTCAGACTAACTTCAAACACAAAATCTGAGTTTTTACCAAGAGAATAAACACCGATAGCGAGACATTCAGTGTTTTGAAAAATAGCCAGAACGAACGAATTGTGACCAACTGTGATAAAATGAGTGGAAGTTCTTTTTTCAATATCATCCAAGTTCCATAGTTGTGGCGAAAATCTCAGTGAGTCATGTGACGAAGTCAAATGGGCTTGTACTGAATCTGCTTTCAATCTATTCTTAGGACAAAACGGGCATTCAACTAGCAGTTTAGGACAAACTTCTTCATGCTCCGAAACCTTTCCCCATTCCATTCTTTCCTGACAGTCCTTATACATACATGGAAATATAGCACCAGTTACAAATCTTTCATAAAGTTCCGCTCTTCTACCTAAGTCAGATTTTAGAAAGATACACCGACCGCATCTGTAAGCATCATGTTCCTTTGTGTAGTATATCGGTGGAACTGAAAGATAATTTTTACAATTCTCGCATTTGAAATCTTCAATTTTCTCTCTAGTTATCGTTACAGCTTTCATATTTTCAATGCCAAACTACTGAAAAATCAAAATAAGTAGAAAACTTCTAAACTACACTTGATATTTGAACTAACCACGATGTGAACACAAAGAAAATTTGTTCTACTAATTACTCTGAATTTGTTATCTAAAATTTATATATCATTTTACATGAACTTTTTTTTATTTTTATTATCAGAGATAAGGTGAAAATTATCGTCGATAGATTTTGCATAATTCATTTCTAATAAAGAAAACAAAGGAAAATTATTCATATTGATTAGTGATTGTGGGTTTTACAGAAATTAGCAAACTAAACTCTGAGATTAATTCTACTTTTATAAAGGGTTGAAAAAGGAGAATAACATCCGTTTTTTGCGAACACCAGTATCTCGGTGCCTCTTAGGCCATCAAAGAAGCTTCCTGTAAATGAGTATTATCAAATTTTAGAACATGAGTTGTATCAACTTTAGAGGAAAAACGGCTATCTTTGAAGCGCATACGGCAGTGACGATTCTAAGCATAAAATTCACTCTGAATGCAATTAATTTATTATTACAGGTTGTTTTCATTTTCTATGATGAACAAGCCAAAAAGTTTTTTTACCAAAAAAACTAATCTCATCTTAAAAATTCTTTTTTCAGTTCAAACATATATCTCATTGCCTAAGTGTAATTCTCACTTCTGTGCTTGAAGAAAGCTCCACTTACTCCACTTTAAAACAGAGTGAATATACAGGGCTATTCAAATTCGTTTCTGTACATGGGGATCTCGTAAACGATAAGTGAAAGAGTGTCGGTTAAACTGTGGCAAAGTTGTGTATTTTAGAGACTTATTCAATGATGTAGAGAAATAGAATATAGCTCTTTTGGTTCTGGAGATATAATTTAACCATCTTCGTATCTCTCATGATATCCGAGATCACAATGGTGAGGATCAAATTTGAAACACCCTGTATAAACATATCAAAAATAGATTTCAGAAATGAACTTGAGTGAAAATGTTATCGAAATTATTCTAAAATGGAAATCGATCAAGTTCTTTGAATTATAAGGTGGTGTCCTACTTTGTGCAGTTGCAGAATGTAGCAATATTTGGTTCGATCGATGACCTATTTATTTTGTGGAAATTTATATTGAATAACAAAAGTTCTTCACTCTATCCTATATGTAACAATATATCTGTAGCTGAGAAAATATAAGAAGAAATTTGATTGAATTTATAAATATGAAAAAAGTCCTCGGATCCGAAATTTTTTTTCAGGGGGACATATTTTACACATTGATTTCAACCCCTTAGCAGTAGCAGCATACTTTCCATCTTTTGAAAGGACAATAAATTGACTTTGAAATGACTCTTCGTTTCTTGAATTTGAACTGCATGATGCGTGTTTTCGAGAAATATTTTATTGAATAGTGATGACCTGTTACCTCCACACAATATTGGTACTACCAGTATTTTGATATTGTGAAGAATGACGCGGGTGTTATTCCTTGGTGTTCTTTAGTGAGGAGGTACCGTTAATCTTCTAAGAGTTCAGGCTGGATCGTAAATTTCTCCACAAATTTCTTCATATATTGTATTGATCTCATTGAAAATTATATAAATTATCATAATAGCTGATTTAGCAAACGTTATGCCATATAAATTATTTCTATAGGGTATCAAAGTTGATGCCAAATAAAGAAAAATCTTCAAAAAAATTATCTTCTCAAGTTTTGGGACACGTCCCTGAAGACGCCAATTTTGTTGATGTAACATTGAGAAATTCAAAAGCATAGTTTCATCATTGCTGTGTTTATAACCTGAAAATAGAGCAGGAGCATGTGTGTATTTTCGATACCTTTCAAACAATACCATAGTTTCAGTAAAGCCAAATTTATCTTGAAATATATTTATTTCACTTGTTGGATTAACAAAAACATTTATAAAAAGTATAAAATCATATATATCATCAAGTTAAAATACGTAGGAATATATATTTGCACATGTTTCATCTATTTACATCTCGTGTAACAATATGCACATGTCATTGGGTCATCAAGTCATTCTGCAGTTATACGTGAACGCCAAGAAGTGATCAACGCTATGTATCGAGGAAGATCTTTTCGACATTTATATACACGTTCGGAGGTCAGTCTCAAATCCTAATTTTGACATATCGAATCACAATCAATCATCATAGCCTTCTCTATCTGCTGAACTTTTAGAAAGATACCACTTTTCTTTGAAAATCTTCTGTTTATGTGTCACAGGAACATGCTGAGACTGTTTTCCTTCAATACCCTCCTGGTCGGAGTCTTTGGAATATTTGTAGGATTTATACCGCATGCTTTGTTTCTTGGCAGAGCCTCTAGGGTGCTTTTTATCTGGGTACTCGTATCTACTACCATAGATGATCTCATCTTTTTTGCCGGATTTATAAAACTTTTTAGGGTACTTATTTACTTTTGTGACATGCCTTGTCGATCCTCTATTGCTATCGTCTTCGTCATCATCCTCTATATCATCATGATCTCTCAAAGAAAGATGGTGGTCCTCATCGTCATCGTCAAATGAGTATCTTTCACGTTCCGGACCCTCATAGTTATCAGAGTCATCCTCATGTTGATAGTACTCTTCATTCTCTTCATTATTTTCCTCCTTATCTTCTTCCTCTTTATTTTCTTCAACTGGTTTTTCTTCTTCCCTATGTTCTGGTTTCTTTTGCTGTCTTCCAGTATTTGGCGGGGCAGTAGAAGGGATATTGATGGGCTGTTGTTGACTTTTTGGAGGGGGTTGGAATCTACTTTGAGTTAATAAAGGATGAGCTGATGGAGGTACTAAGTTCTGTCTAGGTACTCCAGGGTGATTGTAATTTACTATTGGTTGCCTTTGAGGAAATTGTTGACTGGAGTGGTAAAAAGTTTGTGGATTTTGAAAATGCGGAGTATTTGGATCGTAAATGAATCTGCCGTTCACGTAAATGTATTTCTTTGGTCCAGCATACTGGGGTTGAACGTTGTACAGAGGATGTAGTTTAAAGCTGTTAAAGGGCTGGAGGTTGTTTTGCACGAGATGACCGTGTTGCACAGGAGTGACTATTGTTTCTGATCCTACAACACTAGGGGCGTTGTTTTGAAGAATAGGTTTATATGCTGGTACAGTTACACCTGGGTTGTAGTTATTCTGGCTCATGACAGTGGCAGCGGTGTTTTGTAAGAGAGGCTTATATGCTGGTGCGGCCAACTCTTGGTTAAAGTTATTCGAGGCCACGACATTAGAGGCGCTATTCTGTAAAAAAGGTTTGTGTGCAGGTCCTCCTAACACTTGATTGAAGTTATTCTGGCTCAAGACGCTAGGTGAGCTGCTATGTAGAAATGGCTTGTACCCTTGTCCTGCTATGTCTTGATTGAAACTACTGGTGCTCACAACGTTGGGGGCATTGTTGTGGAGGAAGGGTTTGTACGCTTGCCCTGACAACTCTTGGTTGAAGTTGTGCCCAGGTTGAAAGAGTTGCTTCAACTGAACACTGGGACCTGCGTTTGTTGGTGACTGATCAAATTCATTCAAAACTTGTTCAGTAGACACCTTCACCAATGAACTGGGTTCCTCAATTATTGATGCTGGCCTCACGTTGGGAAAGTAAACGTTTGCGTTTCGAAGTACCAATGAGTGTTTATCGGGGTTCAGCCATACTATATTGGATTCGCCGTAATTTTGGATATCGCCTGATAAGTTTCTTTTTGTTTTGTTTTTGGCCTCTGTGATGTTCGACCCTTCCACGATCCAAAGTGAAGATAACACAAATATAATCTGGAAACAAAGGAGAGTGCTGAATACATAATTTCTCGATGTTGATATGAGTATTTGATAAGCCATCATCCTCGTTGAAAGAAATATAGAACCCTTAACGAACAGTGCATTCATAGTGAAGGTTGATCAAGATATTCAATTTCTATATGAAATAAAAGAATAAAAAATATCAAAATAGAGTTTCGACACTGACTTGAATAAAAACCCAGCGGAAAAAGCATTTTCTTAATTTTATTTCATATAATGAAGCAGTTCTTCAGTGAAAGCAACGTATTTGGGTAATTTTTGATAGGCAATTAAATAAATTAAACCAACAAGCAGGGAAGTGCAGTCAAAACCAAATGCATATTTGGAATGCTCAGATTGAAAATGTATATAAAAGTAACACAGAATGGTTTAAACGATGGGTGAAAAAATGTACAGACCCGATGAAAAAAAGTGAAATAAGATAGAAACACTTATGTAAGAAGTAGGAATCCCAGTCACAAGAAATAATAAAATTAAACAGCTAATACAAATAAATAATAATAAATAGAAAAACCGACAAAGTTGAATTCTAGAGGAAACAGATTCCTCATTGAAAGGATATAAGATAGATATGAGCAAGTGGTGAAATGTAAGACCGACTGGGGCAAGGGAAAATAAGGCGCAAAATAAAGGTTTATACCGTAGATAGGATCTTATTTTGTCAACAATAATTGCTAGTTTATTCAAACTAAAGAAAACGTCTCGTGAAATATTTTTTTTAGAAAATAATGAAGTACTTACAATTGACGACTTCATGCTCTTTATGCAAAGATCTAGTTTTTACTGATGAAAGTTCAGATTCTTAGTCGACTTATATATACTTTCCCTGACGTGATCTGTTGGGAAGGAAGTGCATTATAATTTTTTCAATATGAATATTTTAAACGAATTTTTCCCAGTTAGGTGAACACAAAAAAGGTGAATGTGATTGAATTAGTTGCCAACGAAATTAGAATGAATTTATTTGATAGCATTTCTGCGGTTGTCACACTTTTTGATTTCCACTTGGTGTTTGTTTATTTCACGCTTCAACTGCTTATGTCCGCTGAAACTGAGGGTCAAACACTTTAAGGTGCCCGCGAAATGGAATACAAGTGCACTTTTTTTCCGTTCCGTTATTTCATTTAGGAAAATAGCAACTTTGCTTCGTCTTGAAATTGCATCGCATTGTAACAAGAAATTAACTTTTTTAAATCATCAAACTACGGTTTGGTACGCCAATTCAGAGCGATTTTTATTTTTTATGAACCACGATTTCCCGTTTCGAAAATTAATTGTTATTGGAGGTTTGTGAAATTACATCATTCTTGGTAACGTCTTGTAGGTACAAAATTTTTGGAGTTGAAATATGTAGCTCTGTTGTGCCAGCGACGCAAAGTACTGAGTTCCTATAGAACGTTCCTCAATAAATAAGGGAAAGATAATAAAGAGCTAATTAGGTGATCATTAGATATTTATAGTAAACCTATATTCCATAATTGGTATGGGGCTCATGGACCTGAAAACCACCATGACTGGTGGTTATAGTACGTTTCTCAATAAATATAAGGACAAGAGAATAAAGTGCTAATTAGCTGCTCACTAGATATTTATAGTAAACCTAGATTCCATAATGCCTATGAAGCTTATGGATCTGAAAACCACTATGACTGATGGACCGAGTTCTTATAGTACGTTCCCCAATAAGTAAGGGCAAGAGAATAATAAAGTGAAAATTAGGTACTATGGGGCTTATGGACCCGATAACCACCATAGACCCGATAACCATCATTTGATTCAACATAAGAAGTGTGAGATATTATCTTAAACAATTCATATAGACGAACCAGTTAAAAGTCATCTTGCAAACGCCCGCTAATAATAAATAATATGTTAATAATAAGTTGTGACTTTCTTTCCCATTGTTTTTTGTAAAAATGAGGATCAATTCTTGACATTTTCATAGAAATAGATTATTTTCAGCTTTCTCAGACGTTCACTAACGAAATGAATCGGATACCAATCCAATACAGAATATCAACCACGGAAATTTTTAGTTCAGGTGTTCATCGAACTCAGTACATCAGTCATGGTGGTTTTCAGGTCCATGAGTCCTATGGGCATTATAGAATCTAGGTTTACTATGAATATCTAGTGAGCACTTAATTAGCGCTTTATTTTGATTGTCTATGTATGAGTTTACGAGCATTTCAAGACTTGATTGTATATTGTTAATTTTTTTCTCAAATCAGGTATCCCGATTTTTTTTCCGCTTATTCACGGTCGTTTTCATCTTAATTTCTTGCAAGCACCCAATTAGCACCTTATTACCACGCTTAGTTTATACCTGATTGAGCACTCGTCCTCGTTTTCGAAAGACCCGATTCTTAGATCTGTTGTTTATTAATTAGAAAATTTTACGATCATCACCGTTTATTGAGTAACGTTCTATAGAAACTTAGTACATCAGTCATGGTAGTTTTCAGGTCCATGTACCTGAGAAAAAGTAAATGACAATGAGAGGAGAATCGAAAATTCAGTTCATACCTATCTATAGTGTTTAAAGTAGGGAAATTTTGATAAGTTATTTGTTATCAATTATATTTAATATAATTTCATGATCTACATTGAGTAGATACTTTTTGAATATATTTTTAATTAGTGGTATCGAGTTAACTTTCATTAGCTTATTCTTGTGCAATTCGTCTAGAAAGTTATAGAATTTTTTTGCTAAAAAACTGAAACAACGTTGTCCCACCGATTTTTTTGTTGTCTGTATTTGTACCAACATTTTTGCTTTGTTTCTTATGATATAACTATGCTCTAACTGTTGAAGGGTGTATTTATTTTTACTTATGAAAATTGCTATGTCGTGTAAATATAATTTTCTAACGCTGAGGATAGCTGCATCCTCAAAAAGATTTTTTGACGTCTATGTATTAGTTTACGAGCATTTCGATACTATTGCATATTGTTATTTACTATGCTCTAACTGTTGAAGGGTGTATTTATTTTTACTTATGAAAATTGCTATGTCGTGTAAATATAACTTTCTAACGCTGAGGATAGCTGCATCCTCAAAAAGATTTTTTGACGTCTATGTATTAGTTTACGAGCATTTCGATACTATTGCATATTGTTATTTTTTTCTCAAATCAGGTATCCCGAGTTTTTTTCCGCTTAGTCACGGTCGTTTTCATCTTAATTTCTTGCAAGCACCTAATTAGCACCTTATTACTTATTACCACGCTTAGTTTATACCTGATTGAGCATTCGTCCTCGTTTTCTAAAGACCTGATTCTTAGATCTGTCGTTTAGCTTTTGTTTATTAATCAGAAAATTTTACGATCCTCACCATTTAGCACTTATTTAGCACCTAATAGTGTTTCCTCAACATTCATTATTTAATTATTATTTTCATTGCGTTGTTAGCATTACATAATGCTAGCAACGCAACTTTGAGTATTGAGTTGCGGTGTAAGTTACAGAGCACCTAGGTTTTTGACTTCGGTACCTAAAAAGAGCCTAAAAAGTACCTAATTATGGCATTTTGTAAATGCGATTTCCGTACTTTGCGTCGCTGGCGTAACAGAGCTAAAATATGTTTTTCTAGAAAACTAGAAATTTTGCTTGGGATATTAGAAAAATAGAAAGAGTTGATTAGAATATTATTTCAAACCCATAAACTGGGTTTAATAACAAAATTTGAATTGTTTGCAATGATCAGTGGCAGTGACAGACATAAGACGAATCTCTATCTGCTGTCGATGTCGAAGGTTGTCTTTGCAACTGACCGCTTTGAAGAGCCTCGCTTATCTTTTATATTCGAGGATTTTATTTTCTGTCTGCTTCAAAACAATGAACATTTTTTCTTTAAAAATGCTGATTACAAGTTACATTTTACATTACATTACAAGTTACCTTCATTAATATGTTTTTCTTTATTTTTCATTATTATCGTTAAAAAAATTGTGTAACAACCAAAAAAACTGCAAAAAGGCATTTAATAATTGACTATTCATTTCTGTCAGTAAATATCAATATCAAGGAAATATTTTTTGTACGTTTTCATACTACTTTTTTCTATTCTGAAGAAGTATATTATTTTTTTATTTGATTTTCAATTTGTATTGAGCAAATTAATTTTCACACAGTATTTTCATTAGTAAACCGACAATTATAAATNACAAATTTGTATTTGCCGTTATATGGTTTTTTTTTATACATAAGAGTTGACTGAATCAACTCGACATGTTAGTGAATTAATTGGATGGCCACTTAGATCACCGGACCTAACAATCCTCGTTTTTTTATAGTTTCTGATCTTGAACATAATGTTTATAAATAATGACCAAGGAATCGAGTGGTACTATATGCTCAAGAAAACATAAAAAATGTTCGTAAGCGATGCGATATGTTGAATGCATTGGATTGAATGGTGGTTTTGTGAAGGCCACAAAAGTTTAAATTGTTTTTCAATTTCATGACTGAGGAGGCCATTAAATTAAATCCGTTCCTTCAGTCCCACATTTTTACATATTCAATATTGTGCGTGATAGGTCGTAATTGAAATTTTCGTTGAATTGGATCTCTACATATCTTTTTTCCAACCAACAAAGGCAAAAACTCTATCTGGACACTTGTACGATTCTGTCTCCATCGCGTTCATTTATTTCAATAGTTATCAAGTACATACAATTTCATGATCGTACAGATTTTAGTAATAATTAATTTGAAAGTCATTCAAATTAGTTGGATCAAACAATCAGTTTTACAATTCAACGTTTTTTTGCTCTAGTGAAAGTTTTTAAATGGAAGGAAAGATCAATAATTTTTGTTCCGCCGTACAAAGTTAACAATGGTAAATGAAAATTAAATATCAAAAGACAACACAAGAGCTCTTCATTGAACATATGAGTAACCCATCCATTCTGGCTGTCTCAGCAAAATCTTTTTCCAGACTTGCGTGGTATTGTCAAAACATACCTAACAGAAAAAGTGGTTTTGGTCAATTCATTTTGATTATTGGAAAAAAACCGTAAAAGAATCTGATACACTTTGAAGTAAAATTGCGCTTCTGAAACAAAGTAGCGGGATTAAAATGGGGTAGAACATGCGTAGTAGTATTTGTCATACTTTTTTATATTGAATATTTATTCAGGGCTGCTATAACAAAATTGATTTTTTTTCAATAAAAGTATGCAACACGTAAAACACCATGACGTTGAATATGACACTCAAGTGCATGAATGACGTAATGCCAAAATGTGGATCTCTGTATCATTTTTCAGTTATCAGAGTAAGTGTTCTCTCTTCAATGCCCAGTCCACATTATAACGTCACTGATTATCAGTGAAATGTATACCAACGTAGTATAGTATAGTATAGTTTACTGCTGATTATCTCAGTCCATAATATGAACTGACCATTAAAGAGAGAACATCGACTCCAACAACTGAAAAAAGATGAAAAGATTCACGTCTTGGAACTTACGTTACGCATACACTTAACGTTAGATACCACGTTGCGATGTTTTACTTGTTACACATTTCCATTGTGAAAATTTTGGGATTCGATTTATCACACAGTGCTGTGTCGCAGTGCCTAAGACGTTGTGTGATCCGCATGTGGAATATATGTACAAATGATGTTAAGACCAGTCCGTATTTTCATTATCAAGTATATGTCATATCCATATCTATGATTATACTTTATTTTGTAATTTCGTGATAAGGTGAAGTTTATTACTGAATAATAAATGTTTGTTTTAAAATGTCTATATAACTCTCTCTCTCTCTCTCTGTTTAAGTTTTCTTGGCCTTTGCTTCCGTATGGATTTTATTATATATGACAACTATTTAATAAGGTTTTGAAAAATGGAAGAGGATAACAAAAATTCAGTTATAACTCTGGAAGATTTTCCATTCATTTGTCGAATTTGTTGTTTGAGGCGAAATGATTTAAGACCATTTGAAGAAGTAGATTGTTTGATTGCACTATTCCATACTATTATGAATATAGATGTAAGTTCATTCATATCATTCCTTTAAACTAGCGGGTATCCCAAACAGTTAAAAGATGGGGAAATGAAGTTTTTCCTTCTCATCATAAAATTTCACTACATTTTGACAGCCTTGATCCCCTCAAAAAAGTATGATGGTGATGTACTTTCTTTACAGTAATCTAATTAAATGAATACTACTGGAGTTTTTTCCCAACACCAAAGCGTTATTTTAACACCTCGACACGTGTTTCGATCACCAAGTGATCATCTTCAAGAGAAAGATCAATCTGATCTCCCTCTGACAATTTACTGACATCAATGTCAGTAAATTGAAAAATTAAAGAAATTTCCAATAACACCATATCTCAAGTGAGATTGGTTCTTTAATTATTTTATGTCCAGTCATTTATTTATTTATTTACAGCAATGCCTATTTTTTACAAAATAATTAACAAGTTCACACATATGTATTCAACAGTAATCTAAGTTAGGTTTAAGGCCACCTAAATGCAATATTCTGAAAAAGTGACATTCTGATTGTTTCAGAAATTCAAAATTGTTAAAATATACAGATTGTTCCTTTAAAATGCCAAAACTTGACCCATTCTTGTAAAATATTTCTAAATTTTTGTTGTACCTACTGTTAGCTACATATCAACTATGAATATGACTAAATGGTTTTATTGATTTGGACTAATATTTTTGAAGGTTTGCTCAACAGTTGAATATCCAAAAAATGTGTGCGATGAATGTGCCAGTAAACTGGAAAATATATCACTTTTGGTAAACACTTCAAAGGATAATGACACGAAGATGAAAGAAACCTGGATGACACAAAAAGAAACGGAAGAAAATTTAACAGCTAGAACAAAAGAAAATTGTGAAAAGGATATTATTCATAATGAGGAATCTCAAGTATGTCGAATTTGCTTGTCTAAAAAATGCTTAACACCGTTTGAAGAGAAGAAACTTCTGGCGAACCTATTTATAGATCTCACAGAACTTGATGTGAGTTTATATCTGATTTTTGTTTCATGTAGAAAAATGTTATATAGTCCTTTTTTAGGTCTCGAGGAGTAGCATATGCAACAAATGTATTGACAAGCTAGAAGACATATTAATTTTCATCAGTTTTTCACTGTGTAATGACAAGAATCTCAAAAACGCTCTTGGTACTGACTTACTAAAATGCGAGGAGCAACAATTTCTCAAAGTAATTGACCGAAATGAAACGATAAATGACGATATATTCAGAAATAATGAATGTTCTCTTGAGAGCAAAGTGAAATATGAAAGTATCGATATCAAGGAGGAAATTATTGATTGTGAACTTGCATCTTCCATGAAAACTTTCCAAAATGATCTATGTAAAAAACGATTTGAGTGTCATTTGTGCAAATATAGCTGTAATCGGAAAAGTGATTTGGTAAACCATATTCGTACTCACACTGGAGAAAGGCCTTTTGAATGTCATTTCTGTAATAAACGTTTCACTATAAAAACCCAGTTAAAACAACATATGTTGAATCACACTGGAGAGAAACGATTAGAATGTCATTTGTGTAAATATAGCTGTATTCGGAAAAACGATTTGTCAAAGCATTTGCGCATTCACACCGGAGAAAGACCCTTCGAATGTCATTTGTGTGTAAAGCGTTACACTACGAAAAGCCATTTAACACAACATATGTTTCAACACAATGCAGTAAAGCCATTCGTATGTCATTTGTGTGAATATAGCTGCATTCGAAAAAGCGATTTGAAAAGGCATTTTCGCACTCACAGTGGAGAAAGACCTTTCAAATGTGATTTGTGTGAGAAAAGTTTCACTATAAAAAGCCAATTAAAAGAACATATCTTTCAACACACTGGAGAAAAAAAATTCGAATGTGAATTGTGTAAATATAGCTGTGTTCGAAAAAGCCATTTAAAAATGCAGAGACGAACTCCAAGTCTAGTTCTTGAAAATTATGATTTTGCCCGGTGCTCGACCACATTACCAAATCATTTGTTTTTTTCACAGTTATGACTTTTTTTTGGAAAAATCTTGTATCTAGCATGAATGTTGAACTGAATTCATCTCTAGAATCTGAATTGTAAATAAAGACACTGGAAAAACAAAATGTTTTTAATTGTTACTTTTTATACACTGTGTTCACGATAAGGAAGGTCATACAAGTGCCAATTATTCTGCAAAATAAGAGCAACAAAGACTCTTCAAGTCTTAAAAAATTATTGAGAGTTGCGAAACATTCATCAACAATAAGTTTAATATATGGCTACTCTGCTAAAATATCTGTAGTCTGGTAAAACAGTCAAATTGAATATATTTCCGAGGTGTAGGTGAACAATACCGAATTCTTGCCTCTCATGTAAGATCTACGATTTTGCAGGTGCGTGTGGCAAATACCTGACAGAAAAACAAGTAATATGCTCTGCCTGCGAAATATTCGTTAATAACTAGAATTGTCGAATTCGTGTTTTGGCTCAACCGTCTCCATCTCGAATGATGTAAAAAAAATGTCAAAGAAACTTTCAATACCTACTGTTTCATATTTGTTTCATCGATTTTTGTAGCCACTGTATTACAATACACGTGTAAGCCGACCTTGATCTCCGAATAAATATCCTTAATATTTGTGTAGTTTCAAAAAAGTAGAAACCAATATCTTAGAACTCAAAGATACATCAACTCCCAACATCTTTTGAAAATTTGTAAATATAAGTGAATGCCCATGCATTCCAGGGGTTTTGTATAAATTGGGAAGAACTGTTCAGAAGTCAATTTTTATAATAAATGTTTGTTTACGGTGTTTTTTGGCAAATAAAAATTGGGGAGAAAAAATTTATGAAAAAACTGAAATTCACAGATTATGATAGGAGAAAAATATTTTGTAGATGGCTACCAACAAGAAAATTCCCTTCTAAATAGATCTACGAATTTCTCAGAGAGATTTTTAGTTCATGTTTGGCTTGTGTTAGACACCAAGATCATAGTTCCCTACTTTTTTGAGACATTTTGATGGGGAAATTATATTTGGAATTTTTGTCGAAGACTAGTTGAGTTGAAAGATTTTCCTTCGAATATTATGAGAAAATATCTGTATTTCCAACATGATCGAGCTCCGCCACATCGCAGAACTATTTGCAGAGATTTTCTCAATACGACTATGCCAGAGCGATGTGGAAAAAACAATGGTCCTAATAAATGGCCACAATGTTCACCTGACTTGACCCTTCTGGACTTTTCATTGTGGGGCTTCATTGAAGAGAAGGTATTCGTCTCAACTTTTGGCAATATTGATGAACTGAAGGAAACCACAAAGAGGGCTTGCATGGCTATAACTCCACAAATGCTAGAAAATTGCCTCTTTTCGTAACCTCTCTTATACACTTTTCCTATTATTGTACATTAGCGCCGGAAAATGCGTACCTGTATCTGGAGGATGGGATAAGTCTGTTTAAAATCTGTTCACATGAATAACGAGTTACTCAAAACCATGTTTATCAAATGAAGACATTAATGAAGAAAAATTAATATCCATCTCCGAAAGTTATATAATTGGTAGTGATAATGGGCCTTCACAGAATTTAATGATATATCTTTTATTGAAATGCCGATAGACCTTAATATAATTTACATTTTTGAATAATAAATTAATATTACGTAAATAACACTGTTTTACATGTGAATAGTTTATGTTTGTCCCTACTACTAGTGCTGCCTCTCGTGACACGTTCGCTGTACTATTCTCAGGGAAAAGGCTCAATATTGAATATCCCACAAAACCGTTTTGTTTACGTAAAACGTAAAAATGTGGAACTTATATGCAATGCACCCCTCTTTCTGACGTTCGTACGTCCATGATACATTTTCAATTGCTCATCATGATTTATCCATTTTCACGCACAGAATCATAGAGAAATACGATATAAACTTAAAGTTTTCTGTTGTCGGATCTTTTAAATTGACGTTGTTTCTAATTGCGTTTTCCATTGATGAAATTAGTAGTATCTATACTCGTGTCGTACTGAAACTACACAAATTATATCAAATTCCAATATTGGTGTAGTCCCAATGGATCGTAAATTTTGGCGCATGTCACTCAACAATATTACTACTAGGAAATATCATGATCTATTCTACTGGCTACTGGAATCCAAAATACTATTATTATTCGTCAATTATTTTAAAGTGACAGTTTGACAGAAATAGTTGTTAATTTAATCTGAATAATTATTTTGGAAACAGATAAATCAACTATCACGTTGCAGTTCTGACCTGAAAATAATACAAGCTCATTTAAGCTTTCACGGAATACTTTGCAACTGAGGCCACTGAAGTTGAAGGTCTACCTCTGTGAGCTAGATTTTCCGAGTTATCAACCGAAAGCTGTTTTCCTCTCTTTCCTGATATTTTGTCAGTAATGAAAATTTTTTTTTTACCAATTACTACTGAAAGATTCATAATTTGTATTTTCTCTTCAACGTCTTCGTCCAGCCAAGACTGAAGTCGCTTGACCCAGGATTCTTTTATATACGAACCTTGGCACGAGCTCGTGCTGATAAAATATGCACCTATTGCATAATGGTTTTCCAATGGAACATCTAAACTGACACTCGTATTAACAATGGAACGTAAAATACTATGAACATGAACTCGATTGGAACTGGTATTACCAAAGAAAACCGCTCTGATAAAGTGAAGTTCTGTTAGCTCTGAGTTGAGTGAAATTGAAATTATTTTTTTGTGTAAGTACTTTCGCAAATTATCTTTTTTATAAATATAGTTTGGAATGTGAAAGGGGCGTCATTTCCTGCTAAGAGCAAGTGCTGTTGTTTGAAAATCATGTAAACGATCAGACTGTCTTTAAAAAATTAAAAGTCAACAGATCACTTTTGGCAATAAATAATAATCAAATATGACATTATCTTTTAGACAGTTTTTTGTATAATTTCGATTCATCTATTTCATTTAATAAACGTCTTTGTGAAACATTTCTTTAAGACTCGCTATCCAATTATTTTGCTTTAATAGCGTTTTTGTTACATTGTGTTGGCATAAATGAATGTCAAAAATACAAAGATAGTTATTTTGATAATTATGTATTTCCACCGAAAGACAAACATGAAATCACTATTTTCAAAGATAGGTTTCAAATTTATACCGCTTAGAATAATGATTTGCATTATACTACACAATTACTATCATAATAGTGTGTTCGAGTGTATAATATGTCCATTCAATTTAAAATTCGGAATTCTATCAATTTCTTCACGATAAATGTGGTATTGCTTTTAGGTTTACTATGACAGAAACCCTTTGGGCTCGGAATCTTTAGTAGTCCTGCACACACAATTGTTTTCAGACGCCATATTATTAATTTCGTGGAAGTGAAACTATAAGTACAGTGTGTTTATACCTAAATTTTACCAAAACTAAAAGTGTGTCAATATTTTGAGAAGTTTACAAAAATTCCAGATCAAATATGAAGATTATCGTATGGATAAGGTAAAGTTTTCTATTAACTTACAACTTAGCAATCTTAAATAGGTACAACTTTGACTGAATACTTTCATAAAATACAAATACTTATACTTTTTGATATTTCGAATAAACAGTTTTGAATGGTAATACTTTATTGATAACCTCCTTGTAATTTAAAATATCCTTATTAATTTGTTAGAGTGTCTCAAATTGTAACGTTTTCGAACTATGTGTCTGTTGGTCAGGGGCGTATCCAGGATTTTTCAAAATCAAAAATAGGAGAATGAACTCTTTTTGGTGTTATAATTATCCAGTAATACTAGGTGACTGTGCGGAAATCGCGTCGATAGACACTAAGTAAAGTATAAAAAAGTAATGAAAATTTGGCAGTATAACAATAATGTTTTCACTTGATAAAAGAGAAGGCCTTTGGTGTTGTATTGTTGGCAATCCTATAATAACAAATGTAAACAGTTCACTTCTAGCACCATTTTAAAAAATTAAAAATATTCATTCGTAGTTCATTCGTAGTTTGACATTATTTTTGACAGTTAACAAGGAATCGAATGATGACAGCTGACGAGCTAATCATGTGCGTTAAAATTGTACCTGGTCCGGAGCACTATCGGTTTTACCGGAAGAAGTTTGAACTTGGTTGTTTTAATAGGAACACCCTATATTTTATTACAGATTCATATTCTTTGTCGAATTATAAATCTATATTATTCTTATTTTAGACAATCTGATGTGACTCTTGTTGTATCCACCGGGTTGAGGAACTTGCATAAAGATGCCGAATACGTAATACTGTTTACTCTTGTTCGTTTCACTATTTTATTCATACTACTCGGTAACAAATAATACCAATGATGAATAAATAAGTGCGTTGCCAAGATGTACAAAAACAACAACTCTATGTCAGAAAAAAGTATAGGCATTTGAAAAATGATAGTTTCAGTATGAAATTGAATTTATCACCACCAAAGAGAATACAGAATTAGAAGAAATGTCTTATGTTTATTATTTTGCCAATAATAAAATACTATCTGCAGACTCGAAAAAGAAATTTCAACAGTAACTCAAAACGATGAGTTGCCGAAAAAGATTTGCACATTCACTGAAAGGAGATATGGCCTCAAAAGGTAAAAAAATCAAGGTAACCTTTTGAGAGTGAAGAAAATCAACGGTAAAATAATGATATGTAATGCTATGGTACGAGTTGTTCATTTTAGAAAATCTACGTAAAATTGCTGCTACAGTTACACTCTTTTCACCTAGGAACTGTGAAAACTAAAAGTTTGACTTGTTCTCATGTGCACCATTAACCATTAAATTTTCTTTCTATGGTGACCTCAAATACATAAAGAAATCCAATTTATGATGAAATTATGTAGGAACTGCATTGGTTAAAGAGATACGCAAACGACAACACAAAAAACACACTTAATGTGAGATTTCCACTTGAAAGTACAAAATCATGACACGTGTTTCACTATACAATAACATCTTCGGGCATCACAATACTACCTGAGATTAACCAAAGGACTCTTGGTATCGACTTCATATTGACTATATGAGTCCTTTCTTAATCTAAGTAATTATTCCATCAATTGTATCGGATAAAACAATTGAGTCTTTAAAAATATATTCGCTCAATTTGGGTTACCTAAAGTTGTTATTTCGAGTAATACCACTTATTTTGCCAGAGTTTCAAATGGAAGAGCAGAAGAACATTTACCAAAACTTTGTGAAAAATAATTGAGATTTAAACTTGCCATTAAATAACTTCTTTTTATTGATTCAACTGGAAAAGTAATAAAAAATCAGATTAATAAGAAAAAACTCATTCGGGATTATTCGGGTAATATAAAAAAACCTATTGAATCACCAACATATTTCTGAATTGGGTAGGATATGAAATCGACATTCAACCAAATCATTGAGTAATCTTTCATTTTTGATTCAAATTCAAATTTTGTTGATGGTTCGAACCTTAAATCAATAGTAAATGAAGAAAACATTGTCTGAACAAACGGTGTTTCAAATATGTTGCTTGTGTTGTTTAAAATATGTTTTTTCCGTTAACCAGCTATCGCACCCCCACGAATGACAACGCTCAGAAGTCGAAACTTGTACGAGCTAAGGACTAACGAGGTCTTACCTTTTAACGTGTGATTCCTAACACGGGTTGGACGATAGCAAGTGAAAATCGAGCGTTCAGCCTTTGGCTTGAACCATCGACTCACGCAGCTTTAGTTGTGAGGAGTTTGACCCATTCCTCTAATCTGTCCGCTTGCTGTTGTAAGTATCTGGTGGCTTGCGCGTGGTTAGTGGATCTCGCTAGTAGAGCTGTGGGTCTGCGTAGAGTGCCAACTTGTTGAAGTTGTTCAAAAGGGGTGAACTGCATAGTTTTAGTTGATCATTGGGTGTTTTGAAATTAGGGTTTTTGTACAATATATATAATATAGAATATGTACAATATATTGTGTTGAGACCTATTTTTTAAAACTCAACCTAATTACATCATTTACTAATAAGAATACTTTAGGGAACATGTTATTCAAAGCAAAACCCAAAAGAGATAAATGGAAAAAATCGGGCATATATAGACTAGAATGTGGTGAATTTCAACATAAGATACCGGGAGCATATATTATCGGATAAAAAATCAGCTATATATGGACATCTACAAGAAAAAAACCAAATAGTAAATGAAGAAAACATTGTCTGAACAAACGGTGTTTCAAATATGTTGCTTGTGTTGTTTAAAATATGTTTTTTTCGTTAACCAGCTATCGCACCCCCACGAATGACAACCCTCAGAAGTCGAAACTTGTACGAGCTAAGGACTAACGAGGTCTAACCTTTTAACGTGTGATTCCTAACACGGGTTGGACGATAGCAAGTGAAAATCGAGCGTTCAGCCTTCGGCTTGAACCATCGACTCACGCAGCTTTAGTTGTGAGGAGTTTGTATTTGAGGAAAAACCAACTAAGTCAACTTACTAGCTGAGGGGAAAGGTGTGATCTTATGTCATTATTGTATAAACTAGAATAAGGTATCGATATTTCTGTGAACTGTCAATGTCATGTTATGTACATCGGAAAAAAAAATACAGAACTTTTGTAATATGATTTGTCAATTCATCCCTGAAACATCACAACCCCGCAGGCAACAATCCAAATAATAGAATTTCTAACAGCGCCATAGGTCTCATCAGTGGTACTAGGTTGAACCACAAATGCATTCCCACACTCAACTGTCATTAACGGACAAGCCTGAGCAAGTAGAGTTGATGACACATGGCGAAGACGCCATCTATGGACGCTTCGGGCAGCCTCGCCAATCTTTGATATTCGAGGATTGAGTTATATATTGATCCCATAGATGACTTCTTCGTAAGGGGAGATTTTCCGTCGTGTACCCTGTACTTCAAAAAGTTAACACCTCCAAGACATACAGAGTGTTCCAAATTAAGTCGGCACCATTGCCAACTCCGTTATTATTGATGCTACGAATCCGGTTGAATCTAGGAGCATTTTTAATGGCCTTCTCAATGCGGAAAACAAAAAAAAGACAGTCACGTTTTCAAAATATTTCATAAAATGATATTCTCTTTTGAATGAATCCAATAGTTTATCATGCATTTCGATTCGTAAAAACATTCCCAACAACAAAGCTCATATCACCTCTCTTACTAAAGTTTAAAAATGAACGACATATGTGAAAATATTTATTCATTTCAGTAGTACAAAAAAGTTCTTTGTTTTGGCGAATAAAGACCTATAAAAGTGCCTTAGTTTAGTTTTTTCTTTTCATTTCTCTTCAAGTTTCAGTTTCAGAAATATCGATTCGCGGTGACAGTAACTATTTATTCAAATACGAAATTCTTCTTTCGTATAGAAATGATGAAATATGGGAAAATATGGAAACAAAACATTTGAAATGGAAGATTTATAAAAAATGAATGAAATTATTTATTTCAAATAATGAACTAATCTCATGTAAATGAGTATCTCATAGTTAAAAAAAAAACAAATTTTAATGAATCCAGAAATGGAAATATGACGATATCATAAGGAATGCTAGTGTATTCCTAAACATATTACGAACTCCAGAATATTTCTCAGAAACTGAGAATAGTAAAATTGAGATTAATTCAACTCGAATATCGAGAAATAAACAGTAATTTCTGTGGAAAATGCTTTTCCTTCAAAAAACGATCCACACGTAATTGCTTTTGAACAATTCATCAGTATATGTATTACAGAAAAATTGTTCCAGGTTTACACATAAATATGGATGACGTATTCAAAGTTCCACAACCTCCCGGACGCAAGCCCCGCTTGATTAGACCATTAACAGAGTCTAGTCAAAATTTACCAAAACATAAAACAGAGCCAGAACTACAGGCTCAGCCTTTTTCAAAAATACCAATACGATCTGCATACCAAAAGCCAAAACGACTCCACAGATCTTACCAATTATCTGAAACGTCTCTGATTCCAGAACCAGATTCCATAGAACCCGACCCTCCATTTATAAAAGCTGACTCGAAGAATATACAAGTGGATCCTTCGACTATAAAAGTATTTCCAAGCGATACAAAGTTGGAACCTACCACACAGACAGTAACAGAAGTAGCAAAACCTTCAGCAACCAAAGTAGTACCCCTTTTAGCTCTGAAACCTGGCACGTCTGTTTTGATTTCTAAATCAGGTCAATCCACTCCACGTATAATAAGAGGAATTCCTGCTTCAACCGTAAAAACTGCGGGGTCCTCCAGTTCAATGTTGAACGCAAGACCAGGAACTCCCTCATCTTCGACTTCGGAATCTTCTACACAGCTGAAACCAGGAACTTCATTATTGAAATCAAAACTCACGTGCACATCAAAACTGACAAGAATATCTCCTACTTCGATGCTGAAACCAAGAATTGTACCAATGAAACCTGAGACGACTCCCTCGATCAGAACCCACTCTTCTTCAATTGTGAAAACAGGATCTTCGACTTCATTTTCAAATGCAAGTTCTTCATCTCTGTCTATGACGCCAGAAAAAATTCATAGTTTTTTAAATATGGAACCTTCTTCAACTGTGCATACCCAACCTTCAACCGCCTATATGAATCTTCCCTCTGTGATTCCTCTGAAATCAGTATCTTCAATATTTTCTGAAAATACTGATCTAGAAGATTCAACCTTAGCTAAAAAAGTAGCACCTTCCACTTTGACCGGGGAGGTAGCATCTTCTATATCGGTTGAAAATGTACAAATTTCCACTTCTGCTGAGAAAGCAGAACCTTCTCAAGTTCTGAAAGAAGGTTTTGCATCTCTTCCCCCTTCTTCAGGACTTGTTATTCTAGCCAATCAGGCAGCAGCTGTAGCTCAAGCAGAAGAAGAAGCTAGGAAAGTTTCTATTGTAACTTCAGTCAAAAGGAAAAGATCGGGAAAACCACTTGATTTAGCGATGATGGGAAAAGGAAAAGGAAACTTGAGGCCTTCGAGTATAAAAAGAGGGTATGTAAAATCCGGACCACCACCTTCAGCAGGAAGAGTTCCACCAATTCTGAGAGTATTTCCTTCAGCGGAAAAATCAAAACCGTCAATATCTACTGATACTGTGCTACCTGGATCCACAATTAGAAAAACAGAAAAAAATGCTGAAATCTTAACCATAGCTACGTTCATACATAAGGTCAAGAATGGTGAAGGAACTCCTGAAGTTCTTAATCCCGACTTGGACGAAGTTCGTGAGACTACTCTAGACATTTTCAATGAGCTCATAGAGAAAACATTCGGTGAGCAAATATTTATTCCTACTTTTTCATAGTTTTATCGAATTTTTCTTTGAAATATATTGTTTATCGCAATATTTTCGTTAAGTAGAAAACATGGGAAAACTGACTAATAGAGTTGGTGTCATAGGATTATACCTAAAATAATCATCTCCTGATGATGCCAATTTGATTAGCTAACGTGGGTTGAGGGAGACTAAATCGATGACACATTAATTAACAATAGCGTAAGTATGCAAGCTGGTCCAAATCAACTAAGCAATCGGCTGGCGGAATTCATTCAGGTATATCGCTACAGGGTCGGAGTGCTGAGTTACGTTTTAACGTCTGTGATATGTACCTACATGTATGTACAGTATTTTAGAGTTTGAAATTTTCAAAATGACGAGTAGTGATACGGCTGAAGAAACTGCTAATTTGTGTCCCTACACTCCACCAAAAAAAATTCCTATACCCAGCCGCATATTATTGAAAAAAATTGTTCGTTCCTTAGTACGACTCTGTACAAGAATGCCTTGTCTGGGAGATCACTAGCGTAACATGTGTGTCAAATGCAATTCAGCAAGTTCCATTTCTGAGATTGGGTCTTTCTACTTCAGCTAATTCTATATGTATTGGTTTTACCTTATAACTTATTGTATTTGAATTGTATTGTAATTTGAGTCATATCCCTGTTCTGTAGTTAAGTGTAACCTCAGAGTAATAAAAAATATATAGAGATGCCCTCCCTATACAAACACAACAGATTTGTAGACAAATCATAATGGATATCATTATGAAACGGATTATGGTCATATAAGTGTATTGTTAGAGTACGGTTGTAGAAAAAAATGTTTTTTCACTATAATTTTTTTTTGTTATCGCTGGACATATTCCGTAGTCAAATAATATTATTTGAATCATCAATAAATAATGTTGGAGAAACAGAGATTATTTTTTTCAAAACCGCTTTAAAAACACAGATAAAATAAAAACAAGGACACTGAAATTGTAAACAAATTTGACTTCCAACCCCGGTCTCCCCTAAACAATAATTGAAACTATCGAATATGGCTAATCGACTATTTAAACTGTCTTAAATTGTTTATTGAACCGTCGATTATGAAATGAAAGTAGTCTGTGTCCCTTCAGCGTCTATAAGTATTGCAAAAAAATAATATAAAGGGTGATTAGAAAGTTGATGTAATTTCGGATATAATTTGGAAGTACGAAAGCTTCTCAAAAACACTTTTAAATGAAATATTGAATTTTCAGAATTGGAGGAACTGAAAGAACAACACGAAGAGTTGAAAAACAAATACAAACGTCTCGAATGGGACTATTACAAATTGACCGGTACAAACATTGATCTTTCAACTTACAATACTAATTTAAATCAGGTGAATACACGGCTGACTGAACAACTGGAGAGCCTAGCGAGCGAACTTCGAACCTACGAGATTAAATGCAAAAAGTTTGAAATGAAAGATAAAGAAAACAATAAGAAATTAAAGAGACTCCAACGCATCGAGAAAGAATACTCTGACTTGAAAGTGCGTTACGATTTACTTAGCTGCAATTGTAACGAGATGATTAAAGAGATTCAACATTGGAAGTCTGAACTCAAAGAATTACAGGATGAAAAAAGTTTTCTGCAACAAGAAGTTATCGGAGGCCAATTATTACGGCGCACATTGCACAACACCGTTCAGGAGTTGAAAGGAAACATTCAAGTTTACTGCAGAATACGAGCACCAAGCAACGGAGAACACGATAGACCCAGGTTCGGTATTGGATTCCCGAATCAGAACAGCTTGGAAATGCAAAAAACGAAAGCTGGAAAACCAACTGATCCCGTTAAAGTGATGTTTACTTTTGACAAGGTTCTCCGTCCCGTGGCCAATCAGGCAGAATGCTTTCAAGAACTCGTGCAGTTTGTACAGTCGGCATTGGATGGTTTTGATGTCTGTATTTTAGCATACGGACAAACTGGATCAGGAAAAACTTACACTTTGCAGGGCCGTGATGAGTTAGAACACACTGGTAAGATTTTTTTCAAGTTTATGTTTGTTACTACTCTGAATACAGAACGAACCAATCTAAGAAATTGAAATTGATTTTAATAAGTTGCAAGCTAAAACTATGTTCCTTTTTTTATTGATTTCAAAATGCTATCAGAATTGAATTGGAAAATATAATTTGGAATAATATCTACCTGAGAAATTAGAAAACTTAACAAAATGAAGAAAATAAATTGAACTTAAAACTCATTTCCTGAAGACACTAACTTGATTGGTGAAACGCTCCTCGAGAAGAGTGTTTCTGCTACTTGGGAAAAGTGCTTGTTTCGGATTTATTCTACTCCAGAAGTTTCAGTTTTACCTTGTATTAGGTTTAAGATATATGGAAGAACGAATGAAATAAATGGAATGTTTGAATTATTGAAAATACTAAAAATAGTCGAACCGAAAAGTCGGAAGTAATGTCAAAAAATGAGAAAGGAATTTATAACGAAAACAAAATTGTTACTTTAAAAATCTGGTGGAAGAGACTTTGTCTAGAAGACAACAAGAGGCCCGCTAGGAGGAGTGCCCTTCACAACCAGTGCTATTCCTTCTTTACGTCAGAAGACTGTGGGAGAGATGAATTGGGTCCAAGTGCAATATTAGAACCTGCTTCAGATATGGATTCGCCATCCAAGATACCAAAGGCGGACTGCGATTCCAATAATTGCATGTACCGGATACCCTGCGAGGGCGGGGAATCATACATCAGTGAAACTTGGAGGCTATTGAAAGTACGCGTTGACGAGAACATAAAAAACATTCTTCGAAGAGAAACCAGCAAAGCATCCAGTGGCTCGAAGCTTATGTCGACAGGGAAGTTCAAACTTGTAACATTCACTAAGTTGTTAACGAATTAGCATATACGACTGACTTGGATATTAGTCTAGAACGGATGACTTCGAAATAAGGAAACTACCGAACCTAGATTTGGCTGCAGAAAGCCTGACTTTAAATTAACATTATTTCATAGTTAACCGGAGATCTAACAGGAATGTCCCCTGGTGGAATAAAGATCAGGATCATATGAGACAACAAACTAGAAACGCCTTCAAAAATGCAAGGAAATCGGTAGTGTGGCATCGATATTAAAGGTCCCTAAATGAATATAACAAAGGCCTGGAGAAATCTAAGAGGAACTCTTGGAGATCAAACAGACCCAAATATGTGCCAGAATCTATAAACTACTGTCAAACGAACAAATGAGCATATACATTCAAAAAAACAAGAAGAGATACTTCAAGAAAGCTTCTTTGGGTGCACTGTTCAGAAATTACAAATCTAACACCAGAATCCTGGACGTATTTAGAACTGGAGGCTCCCAAAATAGCGTCCACGGAGAATTGGCTGGTGGCGAAAGAAGTGGTAGATTTGGAGAAGATTAAATGGGCAGTAAATTCATCTTGCAAACAAAATGAGTTGATCAATATTTTCTAAGATAGCCAGGATGCACTTCGGCACTAATGAACCCAAAATGATATCGAGACTGATGTAGAAATGCTGTGAATAACTGGAAAAACTGACGGATTGGAATGGATTGACTCTAACCTGGCAGCTAAAACTCTAAGGTATCATAGACAACGAAAAATTTGATGAATGTGCTGGACACGAATCATAATCTCCATATGTAGACTCTGAACCAGCTATGCGGATACCAAAATCTTAGGTATGGAACCAGATTGGAGATTGGGTCTAAGTATAAGAAATACAAAGTGTTCTGAGAAGAGAAAGGTAGATTTGTTTAAACAAAACAGAGCTCGACGATTACGTGAGTACTCACTGAACACTGTCCATTGGGAGGAAACCTGAACAAAATAAGGCTGTATAACGAAAGCTTCAACTCCGGAAAATGTAACGGCTCCTCATATTTTATAGGAATGTGAAGCACAGGATTACAGGAGTCAATCCTGTAATCTAGTATTATGTTAAAAAAAGTATGATAGATATCCAACAAGGAACCTGTACAAACTAGTATGGGAAACCAGGGATGGAATGAAGCTCAGTGTTTTCTGGAGACTTGGAAGATATGGTCAAGTAGGACGGCTCCCAGAAACAGCAACAAGAGTTGCAAATCGACTTGATGATTTCTGAATTGGATTTAGTGGTTCAATCACTTTGAGTTTAATAACGAATGATCTTGTTGACTCAGTTGTGTTGATATTGCTTTATTACTCCCGTACCTTCGACAAATTAAATTAGTGAATGTTATTGGCAGTTCTACAATACGTCAATTATGAAATATAAATGAAACACTTTGAGTATATCAGCTCCGTAAACCGATAGGCTATACTTGGACAAAGCCGCATAACTGTTTTTCCAATTATACTTATTCTGAAATGGAGGCAATTCTACTCATTTTCATCAAAAGAGAGGTCTTATCGTGGTTCGTGCATTGAAGTTGGGATTGTAGGCCGCCGTTTGTTTGAATGTCTCCCAATTTTTCGGCGACATTAGAGGTTATCATCTTCAGGAACAAAATCGGCTAAACGTTAACCAACTCAAATTCCATTACTTTACTATAGTTTGTTTGGAATCTTGTTTCATTCCCCCAACTTCTATTTTCATTTTATTTTTATTTTTTACAGGTTTTATGTTCAGGGCCGTGACCTTTATGTTCAAAACGATCGAATACTTGCGTACATTCGAATGGTCATATGAAGTAAAAGCCAGTTTCATAGAAATTTTTGGTGAAAGGATTAGAGATTTACTAGATCCCAATATGAATGAAAATCCTCCTCTCGAAATTCAAGTTGATGAAGGAACAGGTCTATCAATCGAAAACTTGAAAATTCTACCAGTCGAGTCTTTCGACGCCTTCGCGGAACTGATGAATGAAGCAGAAAGAAATCGTGTTGCCAGTGCGGCCAACTTCAGTGAACGTTGTGCCAAATCGCATGCAATATACAAAGTTTCTTTAACTGGTACCAATAAGGAGTGTAACGGCTCTTACGTAGGTTCTTTGACGTTAGTTGACTTGGCTGGTTCTGAATTGTCCAAAACTGGATCTAACGAATGGTTGGAGGACAGTGCCGCCAGTCTTCCCGTGTTGGGAAACGTGCTGGTCAGCATATACAATAAGGACAAACTCATTCCATTTAAAAGTTCAAAACTGACTTGTTTGCTCCAATTCACTTTGGGGGGCAGTTCTAAAACTTTGTTGATGGTGCATGTATCACCCTTTGAAGAAAATTATCAAGAGAGTTTGAAAACTTTACGCTTCGCTTCGAAAATCAAGGAGGTAAGACCTGTGATAAAACGAGTTAAAGCTCTGCCATCTCCTCAGCAGGCTTCTACCTCTTCTGGTCACCACTCCTAAGCAATGGTTAATGTGAACAAAGATCTCAATTCGTACCCGTAATAAACTAGTCAAAGAGATTGCACCAAAAAATTAATTTTAGTCTGAAGTCTCATTTGCTGATTTGATAATCAAATATTTATTGAGAATATTCATAATAGATAATAGATAATAATCTGTTTTGCTGTGATATAATTGTTTCCTAGATAATTTAGGAAAGTTGTTGTTCAAAACGTTCTCCCAAGGCCATATGGAAGGTATATGAACTAGTCTTCGGTACTGAAAACGATTCCTTTCGTAAGAGACACATCAGATTTGAATCCCAGAGGTGACGAATTTGAAGAATATATTTTAGGCAACTTTAAATAAAAAAAAAATGGTAGTGAATCGGAATCAAATCTGGAGAGGCATTTACAATTTCAGTTCTTTAGTGTTTTTGAAAAAGAATGTAAAATTATTACTGTTATAAAATCTAATATTAACCTTACTTTTATTATGAAATGTTCATTATAACAGATATTCTAACTACGCATGCGCGTTATTTATATCATACATTCATAAACTACAAAGTCAACTCGACCTTGTTTACCTTTATCGCAGGTTGACTTTTGCTGATTACGAACACCTTGTATAATATATTTACTTCAAATCATAAACAAATCATGGATAACACATTTGTTACTTTTAGAATTTTGACAAATTGTCAGCGTGTGCAAGTACAAAAACAATTTACTGTTTCACTACGAATAGTTGATTTTTGATTTCTCGGGTGCATTTGGCACAGAATACTTACATGTTCTGTGATTTTGATGTATATAATGCTCTACTGAAAATCAATAGCTCATATCAGTTCAAAGGGTAAGGGAGCCAGGCTCCAACCTGAATAAAATCAAGATGGCTTCCACCAATAGCTCATCTTTCATAATGAAATCTGTAGTGAAAATGAAGGTAAAAGGTTATGTTTCATGAATCCATTTTGGTCAACAATAAATACAATACCTAAATAAAAAAAAACTGAAATCGTGTGCAAACAAGTTATCTAAAACCAGCTACCCGCCTATAACTAACGGAAATTTTTCGGAAAACTTTACAGAACTACCAACTGGTTTCCATAACAGAAGTTGAATACTGTACCTATAGGTGAACTTCCTAGCTTGGTCCTCTAGATGTGCAGATGAACGAATAAAGTATATAGTCCGTAAAACAATTCTAATTGTCATAACTAATTTTCGAGTAGGGGTTGAGTTTATACAGTATAGTGGGTTTATTCTTTAATTTAAAAAAATAATTACTATTATCAAAACATAATTTGTTCAATTACCTATCTACTCCAAGATATGTTTTCATTCAATTCCAACCGACACAAATTCAATTTTTGGCAAGTCAAGATCTTTTTTATTAAAATTCCTCTATTTCATATATTTCGTGCCTTGATTTAAGTATTTTCATTAGGTCGTACAGTTGTTACCTTTCCGAAATTGCAATATCAGACGGTTATACCTATACATTTAACCCGTAAGAATTCTTAAAAAACGGAGAAACAAAATATGAACAATTTAGTAAACATCAACACGCCTTTAACTAAACAATAACTTCTTCAGATGTGTCTATACCTATACACTATTAATGCATATTTGACAGCATGACAGCCAAAACATTTTTATAAAGCGTTTCCAGGCATTCGTTTTATCTATTATGTGCATTGCTTAAACAATGTTACAACAGGTATGATGACAGTAAGTAAAAACCACTATAATGATGTATTTGTTTAATGAAACCTTATTAACAGGCATTTATTGTATTATTATGTGCGAGATCAATAATATTTCGATAAAATAAAACTACAAAATACGGCAACCCGCATTGATATTCAGAACGCCAATCAGAGCGAATTACGTCACATTAGAGTAAACAAACGAACATGACATTTTGTATATTTCAACAGTCATACTCGACGCTAGTTTTTTCTGATTTTCTTTACGACTTAATATTGCTTACAGTGACTGTTTCCTTTTGTTGTGTTGTTAAATTCATAGGAAAATAACGTGAGCTATGGAACCATGATTAACAAAGGCAAACAGCGATAATGTGCCTAGAATCGACTTGTTGTTATTTGAAGAGTTTCTGGCATCTGGCATACTGGAAGAGTTTCTGGCAATTATGAAAATTTAAATCCGAGGGTTATTGAAAACAAAAAATTGGCAGATTTTAACATCCGAAGCCTTAAGATAAGTATTGTATAATTTCTTTTAGTTCTTTTTTTGATAGGCAAAATTATAGAATACGACAAGTTACAACATTTTTCTTTGTGAAAAATATTTTGAATTTACACAATAACTTATCGGGGTAAACTAAGAAGTTTGTCCTTTCTACAGGTGTATGAAGTTCTTCATTACAATTTTCATATTTTTCAGATTGTGGAAGGTGAAAATACCCAAAGAAGGTCGATAGAAAATGATATATAAAGTAAGATACTTGCCAGACATGAACATCTTTCATCGTAGGGTTCCCACCACTTTCCAGCTACGTGACCCCAAGGAACTCTAATTGAAACCTCTTTGAATTCTTTTCGATTTGTTGAATACATTTTGTATTCCAGCGAAATTTCTTATGAGAATCATCGTTCAACTTGTTTATTCTTTTACCACCGGAAAGTATATATGAATTGTAAATGGTGTTGTTATTTGAGGATGACAGATATAACCTTTGGCACTGCAAACGAATTTCTTGTGTATTTCGAAAAAAAATTAAACAATTTGCATTAATTTGCAGCTTGCCAGATATACCAGTTTCACTCATTGTGTTTTTTATTCAAGACTTCTTGCAGTGTTATGGATGGGTATAGATACGTGAAATCGGTAATTCCGGAAAGTGCTGTAATAAATGACCGTCTGGTCTGAATTGGCGATCCCTATATAAGTACTACTATGAATATATAATAATCATCTCAGTATTTACTCGCACCAGAAAAATTCACCCCCCTGTATATGGGATCGTTCAGCCAAAGGTATTTATTTTCTTAATTTAGTTTGGTAGCGTGAGAGTTGCTGCCACCAGATCAGAAAAAGTTTGAAATCCGTCCTGATCACACGGATTGAGAATTAGT